AAGTGGTTTATCAGTCCTAAGCCTTTTAAATCTTATTTATATAAATATATGTATATAAATATGATTTATGGGGGAAAAATATAAGTTTATAAAACATTTAAAAGAAATTTAATATTTTAAAATACTTTTGGTGACTTAATGTCATTTTAACACAATCTTTGAAAATCAATTGAATTGATGATAACTGAAATCCATTTTGATAAATTTATTGAAATCTTTTGTTTGTAACACAAAATCTTTGTGTTAGACTTGTATTCCCCCCCCCCCCCTTAAAACAGTGAAATATATGAAAATACGGGGGTATGAACTCACCTTTTGGAGGGTGATTCAAATGATGATTTGGTATAGGATGTTTATTTCCACGAGTGAAAATCCCGCAACAAAACAAGTCCTATATAGTTATTTGTATAACATATATGCATCCAATTAGCTAATATAATCATAGGAATGATTGGAAATTGGACTAATTTGTATATATAACTTACAAATTGCTGTGTTAGAAGCTAAAATGGAATCTGATAGGTGTTCACGGCCATGAGAGGTGTTCACGGCCCAAGAGTATGAAGGGTTCACGGCCCTGAGTTCTTGAAGAATGAACACTTGATGATCCTAGACCAGTTTCTAAGAAGATTCAAAGATTTTCAGGTGCTTGTTCTTCGCGTTCTTCATGAAAAATAGATGAAATTAACGGGTTTCAATCTAATATAAAAAGATTGAAAGATGTTCTTGAAGTGATAACAAGATCAAGAATTGATACCTGTTAGATGTTATGAAGAACTAGTTTTTTAACACTTGAATATGATGAGAAAGGATGAATATATCATGTTCTTGAGGAGAGAGGTTGTTCTTCATGTTCTTGGCTGATGATACTTGAGAGAAAATGGCTTGGAATTGTATTTGAATGTGTAAAAAGTGAAGAAAAATCGGCTGAAATGAATATATATGCGAGGGTTCACGGTCCGAGGGGTTCACGACTGTGAACCTCGTATACGGTCTGAAGTCGGTTGGCCGAGAAGGGTTTACGGTTGCGAGTTTGCGGCCCGAAGCCGTTCACGACCTCGTTCACGGCCGAAGTGTTCCCGGTCCGAGGTGGGTGTACGGTCCGAAGGAAAAGAATAAAATGCATGCAAGACTTCTCGGTTTTTAAGCATTTCTCTTCCTAATTCAACCACAATTATTTTAAGGATTTTTAATAAACAATGGTTATTATTTTAACCTTAATAAAAACCCAAAACAATAAATAAGACTTTAGTTGACCCAAGTTTGACTTTGGTTGACTAGGGTTGACTTTACAAAGAGAAAATAACGGGATGTTACAGTTTGGTTGCTATGTTTCATTCATATTCAATTGTTATGATACTACACAATGACGTCATACACTCCCGGACGTTTCTGCCGTCCTGGTTCGGGGGTGTGACACTAGAGTATGGGGCCTTAGTTCTGCTTAAAAACGTATGAATGAGAAAATGGACTGAAGGGACTCGACGAGTTGGTGAGCCAACTCAACGAGTTGGTTAGGGTTTCCCCCGATAGTCTGGACGCGTTACGAACTCGGCGAGTTGATGAGAAAACTCAGCGAGTTGAGTTGGACTTCCTCCGATTTTTCAGAGAAACAAAGGAACTCGACGAGTCGCATAGATGCACTCGACGAGTTGGGTCAACATGGACTGTTGACTCGAGTGTTGACTTCCGTTGACTTTTAGGGTTTGGTCAAGTTATGGATTATGGAGACCATGGAGGGGTAAAATGGTATTTCACCATTTCCGAGAGTTAGAAAAGGGGTTAGCTTAACATCGTTGGAGTTGTTATAAATTGTTAATTAGAGATGATTATGACATGTAGGCGGAGATTAGACCGATCGTTGAGTACGAGACCTACTTGCTTACTTACGAGGTGAGTCTTCTCATTATACTTACCTGAGTGGTAATACTTTGTGACCGGAGGGTCTTATTTGAGTTATTGACCGGAGGGTCTTATTTAAGTTACCGACCGGAGGGTCTTATGTGCTTATACTGAGTTATATGATATCATGCATTTTGTCTTTGTTATTTATGTTGTATATTATTTTGTACCTTATTGAGTTAGGACCGGAGGGTCCAAACCGAGTTGTGAGACCGAACGAACTTCACTGAGATACCGGACTGGAGAGTCCGACTCGAGCTGTGAGACCGGAGGGTCTTCTCTGAGACACATGACCGAAGGGTCCTTATTGAGATATAGCCATGAGAGGCTAATTATTGTGTGTGGTATTTTGGGGAACTCACTAAGCTTCGTGCTTACAGTGTTGTGTGAAATGTGTTTCAGGTACCTCTCAGGATCGCGGGGAAGGCGCCGACTTGATTGTACACACCAACTAGAGATTATGTTTTTGAGGATTCTGGAATATTATCAAACACTTTATTGTCTTGTGTTTTGAACAACTTGTACATTTTGTGCTTTGAGAAATGTGAGATTGTGTTTTATGTGGTTTTTAAAAATGAAAAAATTTATCTGAAAATTTAGAGTGTTACATCAATATTATAATTCTTGATGAAAGGAATGTTGTAAAATTGGAGGATAAAAGAAATAGTTACAACTTGACTATAGGTTTATGCAACAACTAGAAAAAATAAAGATATCATAAAGGCGCTTTCTCTATCTCTTTTTATACATAATATTAAGGCTTCAACTTATTATTTGACCGGTTTGCCACAAATTATAAACCTAAAATAGGAAAACTCTTTGTTACCAATTAATTTAATACAATAATTTTTGAAATTTATTTTAATAACATTTCAATCAATATAAAACAATATAATAATTGTTAATTATATATTTAGATATTTTTTGTATCATTTGATGTGTCATATACCTTATGAGCTAATTTTTAGAAAACATTATTATTTTTATCAGTTTTCAACTAGTCTATCAATTAAAAAATAAACATTTCAACTGAACACTAAGGCCATCGCGTATACCGGCCACGAAACCCTCTGTGGTTGACGTGGCCACGGACAATTCTTGTGCACACCACCCCGACCATTCGTGGTCGGATGTGGTCGTTGTTTCTTGTGTTGCCGACGACGAAGCCAAACGCCCAATGGGGCTCTTCCTCTTCTTTGACCCTTTGACCGGCCGTTGAACGACTAATTTTTTGATTTTTTTAAATAATTTTTTTACATACCATTTTCACCTGTAAATACCCCATTGTAAACCTTATTTCTTACACCATTCTTTTCTTACTCTATACACCAAATATCCACAACATTTTCACAACCAAAAACTATGGATCCCAACCCAAACACCCTCCAAACTATAGAAATCGCAAACCCGATAACGCTTTTACGTTTGACACAACCCTTCGCCAATTCCCGACCATGGAATCACCTCAATGTGGTTTTGTTAATTTGCTTCAAACCGGTTCCCCTATCCAACAAACAACACTTTTTCAACAACAATATCAAGCTTTTCCGGCCTTCCAACAACAACAACTTCAACAATATCAAATTTTCCAACAATTCCAACCATAACAATTCCAACCGCAACCATCACAACCACAACCATCCTAACCCCCTCATTCGCCAGATTTTGTTTCAGAAACTCAACATTCACCACCACCTCAACCTAAAAAACAAAGGAAAAAATGGCCTGATCCAACACCACCCAAGAAAGAGTCCCATGGACAAAAGAGGAAGAAGAAAAGCTTGCCGAGGCATGAATTTCGGCTTCCCAAGACCCAATCGAAGGCGATAGTCAAACTTTTGGTTGTTTTTCGGAGAAAGTTTGTGCGGTGTTTTACGAGCTAACAGGAAGTGAAAACCGAAATCCCGATCAAATTAGCTCGAAGTGGCGCGATATTCGACTAAAGTGCACAATTTGGAGGAATTTACAACAACCTCCTAAACATACGAAAAAGCGGGGCAAACGATTTTGATGTCTTCAAGGCGGCTTTGGACCAATTTGAAAAAATAACGCCAACACGCAAAGCTTTTCGATATGTGAAACCTTGGCTAAAGTTGAAAGATGCTCCGAAATGGAAGGAGCAAACAGAAGGAAGTTCACAATCTTCCGGTTCAAAGCGTTCAAGAAACCCTAACGGAACGTCTCAACAATCGGACGGACGAACACATTTCGACATCAACGATGATCCGCTCGATATTGAAGACGAGCAACCTCTTCGTCGACCCATTGGAAGAAGTAAAGCAAAAAAAGCGGCTTCAACGGCTTCAGGATCTAATGTTACAGATTAATTTGGAGAGAAATTTGATCGTTATGTGAACGTTCAAGAAACGAAGACGGATATGTTGACTCGGGCAGAACAAAAAATGATTGAAACACAATCGGTGATTTAAGCAAAAACCGATATGAAAATCTTGAAAATGAAAGCGGACGACCTCAAAGGTGAAGAATTGGAGCTATTCCTCGCGATGAAGGAGTCCGTTCGAGTCCGACGTAGGAATAGGGGATAGTTTTTTTTTAGTTAACCTTGATAATTTTAAGTTTTTTTATTTTCAATGTTATTTTTTTTATTTTAATTAATGTAATTTTTATTTTCAATGTTATTTTTATAATTTTAATTAATGTAATTTGGTATTTTAAATTAATGAAAACTAGTATTTAAAAAAATATATGATTTTTATATATTTTTGAATTAAATTTAATTAAAAAAATAAATTGGAGTGGTGTGTTTAGTGATAGGTATCCTATGTTTAGTGGTAGAAAATATGGTGATGATATAACACCCAACATTATAACAATTAGTGGTGGGTATAACAGATGATCTAACTTTTCAAGTAGGTACGTGGATGTGTGTGGGGGTTTGGGTGTTAGATTATGTTGGTATGTGGGTAGGGTGAGGTTGGTGTGCGTGTGGGCACCGCACTAGGTATGTAGGTGACTAGGTGTGGAGGTGGATGGATGGCCGGGGTGTGGTAAGGGAGAGTTGTACGATCTGGAGATACCTTGGTGATCTAATGAGAAACCATACTAAGTTGAGGGTCCAAAATGATATATAAGCCTAGAAATTACTACACAGTTTGACTTCAATTAGAACCGCTGACCTCCGGACAGACCACCGGCGGCGATAGCACCGGAAGCCCGTTCCGCTTTCTATGAGGACAACCTTCGTCTCCAGAGTTTTCGGTACCTCACCAAGGAAAAAACCGTTCTACCTTCTCATCATCTCCGCCACCGGCGCCGCTGCTCTTACTTACCACCATACTCTAAACCCTCACCTGCTCCCCTCGCACTCTGATCGACGCTCTCCTCTCTACTACATCACTACATCATTGAACGGTGCCGTTCGGTCCTCTCGCTCTCTCTATACTGTTTGTTTCCTTCATCACACTCTTACATATTGCGTATAACAATCCGATAATTTAATTTTCGAATCTAGCGACAATTGTTTATATCAGGTGTACAAAATAGTTTAATTAATTGCGTATGGGGATTTGCAGATTACTGCGAATGTTGTCGACTACAAGTACTCGTTACAAGGGTTATCGCCGAATACAGATGAATATAGAAGAATTTTATCTGAGGTTCTTGCTTTTCGTACTATTTACTTCTTTTCTATCGGCAATTTTGAATAACTGTGAAGTCCGTTGCCCTGTTACCTTTGTTGCATTTCATCACGGAGTAAATGGAAAATTATCATTATACTTCCATTGATCTGTTTATTGTAGATCCTACTTTCATTTCTTCCTATTACACTTTGAAAACTCAACGTAACAGTAGCAATGCCATCATTGAAAGTAGAACGATGTCTGATATATCTATATCATCCATATTTTTCAATTCAGGTTCATCTACGCTCAGCCAAGAGGATATTAAAATTATGTGAAATCAACCAAGGGTTCTACATCAAAGCTGGTCAATTTGTAGCATCCATGCGACAAGTTCCCAAAGAATACTCATCTACTCTTGCATCATTGCAGGATCAGGTCCTCATTACCTGTTATTGTGCGAAAATAATACTCTATTGTGTAAAAACTAAAAACAGAGGTCTGTTGAGTTTATTCAATAACATAATCTTAAAGATAATAAAATTACTTTGCACAATTTAATATGTTCTTGAAGCGTACTATGAATTTAACCTACAATAAACCCGAATTAACACATTCAGTAAGTCATTCATGTTGTTGTGCGTTGTTTTCAGTATCATTGGTTTTAGTTTTCACTTAATATGTGATTCTTATGACTGTAGGCAGTTCCATGTTCTTTTGAAGCTATAAAAGAAGTACTAATCAGCAATCTTGGGTCAGACTTAAAAGAGATGTAAGTTATTCCTATTCCCTAATGGATGGGTTAATTTGTATATTCTTGATTATCTTTTTAAAGATAAAGATTATCTTTAAATATATACAAAATTTTTAATAGCTGATCCATGTATGGTGTATCAGTTTTTTGTCTATTGATGAAAAACCTATTGCTGCTGCATCCATAGCTCAAGTGCATCGTGCATTGTTGAAAAACCATCAAGAAGTAGTGCTTAAGGTTGGTCACAAACATTTATCATCTCAGTATTTCTCTAATGCAAGAAATAGCATGTACTTTCATTTATCATAAAAGTGTACTTTTGTTTATTTGTTTGTTATAGCATCCTACTTTAAAGCATTGTACTTTCAACTTTTTTTCTTATTAAGGCATTTGAAAATCTACCAAGTTATTTGAGACATTGTACTTATAAACATCTATCCAGTTAGAGAAGTGATAATTGCTTTGTATTTGAATTTTGGATGATATTATTATAATTGGGTAGCTTTTACAAAGTACAATGAAAGTAGAATGCTATAGTAAACAGATAAACATAAGTATGTTGTTATTTGGAGTGTTTGAAAAAAACTGATTATGATTATGACTTTTTATTTGGATTCAAAGTATAATCTTATTTGAAGCTGCTAAGAGTTGAGTTTTTTATGTTTTGAATGAAGGTCCAATATCCTGGTTTGAAAGATCGGATGAGAATGGACATTGCAACCATGTCTCTACTCTCCAAATGTGTCACATGGGTATGACTCATGTTCATATTTTAGATTTTTTTTTTAATCTTCTTGTAAACATTATTATACTTTTATAATTACAAAATGATATACCTTTTGTAGTCTCCTATCTTTTTTAAAGATCCATGCTTGTCTTTTTTCCACAGTTTTTTCCTGAATATCGGTTTCAATGGATGGTATCAGAATTTTCAGAGGTGATTGCTTTGGAACTTGGTGAGCTACACTAATTCTTGATAAGGCTGTCTGGATAGAGGGCAAATTTGTAAAAAGTTGGATTTAATGGAGAAAGCCTCTTTTCCATGACATATATGAGTGTTTTTTTTTTTGAGTGAATGCAAAAAGAACAACTTAATAGAGAAAGTTTAGGAAATAGGACTTTCCCTCTTAACTATTTACAAAATTACCCTTGTTTATATTTTCCTTCCATTTCCCCAAGTGTGTTGTTGTTTTCTTGAATATCTTTTAAAGACACCACTTTATCCAGTCAAGTCAACTTTATAGGAAAAAAGAAACAGGGTCCAAAACTTCCTTGCATCTTTTGAGTAAAAAAGATACAAATATTTTGGCAATCGATTTTCTCTTTTCCTTGATCCGGGCATATGCTAAAATGAGCCGCTTTACAGATTTCATTCAGGAGGCAAGAAATTCAGTTAGAACTGCCATGAACTTTAAGCATAGTAGCAGAATCATAATCCCCAAGGTTTTTCAGGTATTTCATCATTTTATGGGTACATAACAAAGCTATAAATATTATATTATATTATATTGTGTGGACTAATTGTCATATTTATACAAACAGGAGCTAACCACTAGCCAGGTTTTGACAATGCAGTATTGCAAGGGACGAAGGGTTAGTATCTCATGATTTATAGCATTGTTATCTATTGCCACCTGGCCCTTAAAACAACAAATGGATCTAACATTATTCTAACTGAATTTGGGGTTAAAAGGAAACTAGATTTCATGTGTACATAATTTTAAAAAAATTATATCTTTATACATTCCTTTGCTTTCAGGTAGATGATTTGGAATTTATTCGGGAAATGGGAATTGATCCAAAAAAGGTTATATATATCATTGTACTTATAATTCTTTACTCATCATTGTACTATTAAAAATCTACCCAATTATAGCATAGCAGTAACAACTGTTTTGTTTGAAGGTTGCAAAAGTGTTGGTGGAAGCATTTGCTGAAATGATATTTGTCCATGGTTTTGTGCATGGAGATCCACATCCTGGCAATATACTGGTTTCCCCAGATGAAAAACAAGGCTTTTGTTTAGGTAAGTAAATTTCACATCCTACTGCTCTCTTTTGTATTGATTTTATATTTTAGAGAGAGAGAGAGAGAGAGAGAAATGCATGTTTGTGAATGTATATTATTAATATTATGCAGTTGTTCTTGATCATGGGATCTATACAAGTCTAGATGAAGAATTTAGAGTAAACTACTGCCAACTTTGGAAAGCACTGATTCTTTTGGACTCGCATAAAATCCAACAAGTAGGCCAACACTTTGGTATTGGGAAATACGCTAAATATCTTCCCCTCATTTTCACAGGAAGAACAATCAACAGGTGCTTCCTTCCTTTTAACTTTTATACAGAAAAAAAATATTTCACCATTTTGTCAATTTAGCCACTCAACTATATTCCCAGTTACCCGATAATGGTTTTCCTTTTGTGAAGGACAGTAAAGCTGGTTTTGGGAACGGAATGTCGGTTGAAGAAAAAACAAATCTGAAACAGGAAGTAAAATCGCTTACAGCTGGCAATATATCAGAATTTATGGAATCTTTACCCTCAGAATTTCTTACAGTATTGTGTACAGAGTGATTACTACAAATTTTACTTTTTCTTTTACATCCTTGAAATTCCAATTTCTATCCCTTAACCTGCAATATCTTCTAATTTTATTTTTATGCATGATATCATATCAGTGCACTTATCAGGTCATTAACTAGCAAGCTTGGTTCTCCTCCACGTGTAAGGGTCCTAGTTTATGCCAACTTTGCATTAGATGGTCTATCCTCAAAGTCGAATCTTCATTCAGGTATTTTTTTTCAGCAACTGAATTAAATAAATAGCAACCTACTTTCAGTTCATTTTTAATTTCAATCTATATGAGCACTTAGTGGCTTGTATTATTATTTGGATATTGTCAACTTTTTTTTCTCCATCATCACAGATTTTGAATTGAAAGGTGTATGGACCAGAATCATGCCAAGCATTAATCATCTTCAACTCAGGCTCTTACTTGGTAACTTAACCACAAATTTATGTGATAAAACAATATTATATTGTAGCAATATAGTGTTTTGTAATTATAAATAGAGCAAATTGCACCAAAAACCTGCCCTGAAAATTGTCAGTCTTTTTCAGGGGTATTGCGGTTGTTGTATTGGTTCGGGGATACAAGACAGGCGCTCATGTCATGGTTAAAACAAGTTACATTCTTAATGAATCGACTTATCATTCTGGAGTAAAAAGTGTGTATATTGGTAAATAGCAAGCTTTTGGTGTAAAATAATATTTGATTAGTAGTTTAGTCTAAATTTCTTTTCATTACGTATCATCATTATTTGTCTACAATTTCATCACATTTAAACACACCTCGTATGTTAGAACTCATTTAAGAGTTTTTGGTCCACCCACACAAAACATACCTAACTATATATAAAAAAAGACAAAATAGCAAAAATGGTCCCGTATCTAAACTCTTCAAAAATTGTAGAAATAATCCCTCTTATCTAGGGAGGAGAAATCAAAGATAGGAAGGTCGGGACAGCAACATAACCCTACGCTGTTAGCGATCAGGGATCCAAACAAATAAAAGAGATAAAGAGAGAGGTTGATATCGTGACAGAGATCAAGAAGGGAAGGGTCGTTGGAGTTGGTCGATAGTGAGGAGAATAGAGGTTTCTTGGTGGTGTTAATCTTGGTTCAAGCAAGCATCCAAATTCATTCAATTTCCTTCTTTTCTTGTGAACTTTCATCAAGAATCATCATCACCATGGATGCCATGGCCATCATCGTCGACCACCATTAGCCACTATGCTAGATTGGCAGTGCGTGGTGCTCCGTGTTGGTAGCTTTGAGTCTTTATATCATTAGTAGAAGCATAAACCCTAGAAAACTCATGGTTTTACCATTCTAGCATTGAACATTGAGTTTCTCTTTTAAACAACATACTTTGGGTAATGGTTTGAAATTTAATTTACAATTAGACTCAACACATTGTATCCACTATTAAGTCAATGGTTTCCAACTTTGGGGGTCGTTTAATGATGTATTAATGGGTTAAGAAGCCAAATTAACCCAAAGACAAAGTTGGGAAATTATATATTTTGCTCGTTTTTTGCCCATGAAATATTGGAATTGAGCAAGCCAGTTCCCAATGTTCAGGTTTTTAATCTAATAGTTCCATGATATTTTCCTTGACCTGTTGATGAACCTAACTAGGGTGAAAATTGTCATTTTCACTTATTAGTCCAAATATAGCTGCATTTATATGCTGTTTTGTAAAACTCATAGTAAATCATAGAAAAATAAGTAGGCTTATTGTACTATATCCATTGATAGGTATGGAGATGGAATTTTTAAATATGAAATAACATTCTGGATTGATTGGGTTTAAGGGGAGAAAAAATGGTCTTGAAGAGACGGTTGTTTTTGGGGTTAAAAATTGGAATTAGAACCAGGGACTAACTAGTTTAAATGATAGACTAAGATTTCTTATTAATACTCTAAAACGCTTCTATAGCGAAAAGGGAAGTGCCTTGAGTCCATTGGAGTTTTAGTGGTTGCTTGTTGTGATCTACATTATATTCGACGTGAGTTTCTCAATACGTTATACTAATGTGTATGTTCTTTTCTTATAACATGTGTGATTATAGTATGCATGGCTTAGTATTAGGAAGCGTAGAGTCTAGTATGTAAATACTATTTACTTGTTTTGTCGGGATTGCTTCTGTAACGCCCTAAATTTTGCAAATAAAATTTTCATTTTTAATTCTCAAAATATTACGCATAAATCCACATCATCACATAAATTGTAATTTATTTCCAAGACAACATCAGAGTATCCCAAAATCCTCAAATCTCTATCAGCCGACGAATGTGTACAATCAAGCCTTCGCCTTCCCAAAATCTACAGTACCTGAGACACAAATCACACAACACTGTAAGCACGAAGCTTAATGAGTTCCCTAAAATACCACACACAAATAATTAGCCTCTCATGACTATATCTCGATAAGGACCCTCCGGTCATGTGTCTCAGTGAGGACCCTCCGGTCTCACGGCTCAGGTAGGACCCTCTGGTCCTATCTCAATAACGCACAGGATATTATACATCATGAATCACAAGACATAATGCATGATACTACATATCTCAGTGTAAGCACATAAGATCAACATATACATAGAATAATATGACAACATACGTCACAAAGACAGTATGCACGATAACACATATCACAGTATAAACAAATAAGACCCTCCGGTCAATAATGTACTAAGACCCCCCGGTCAATAATATAAATAAGACCCTGCGGTCAATAACACGAATAAGACCCTCCCGTCAATAGTGTAAATGAGACCCTCCGGTCAATAACACGAATAAGACCCTCCAGTCACACATAAATTACCACACAGGTAAGTATATTGAGAAGACTTACCTTGCAGAGTAAGCATAAGCCTAGTCTCTACTCTTGGATCTGAATTCGCCTTAAAAGATTTGGGTGACTTACATCATTGTAACGCCCCGACTTTTCAGGTATTGATTTAATATAAAGTTTCTTGGTTTCAAGGGCTACTTGACGAGTTGGTTGCCCTACTCGTCGAGTAGCAGCGGGTTAGTCCACGCGTTTTAATGACCTACTCGCCGAGTCCAAGAAGGGACTCGACGAGTAGGAGCTGGCAGATGAAACCCTAAATCCCGGGGTTTTGCACCCTATTTAAAGGATCAACAGCCTCCCTCTACCCCCCTTGTAGTCTTTTGAGAACCAAACCAACCCTAATTCGTGTGTGTGCTTCTTTTAGTGTGTTATAAGTTTTGGAAGGTGAATCTTAGTGAGGAAGCTTGGAGAAACAAGTGGCTAGAAGCAAGGAACTTGTGGGGATCAGAAATCTACCTCAGTTAGCATCATTTGAAGGTATCAAGTCGTCACCTTTACCTCATTTCTTTCTAGATCTCTTTTGGGTGGGGTTTAGGGTACTTTTGGCTTGGTTATGATGTTATTGTGGTGTATGAGCTAGATCTGAAGTTGCAACTTCAGATCTGGACCCTTCTTGGGTTCTAGGGTCATAAAGTTTCGAGTTGGGTCCTGCATGAAGCCCTCCTTGAGTGTAAAACTCCATTATAATCTTAGATTTGTCATTTAGAGCCTTTAGAGCCTTGCATGCACGTAAAGTTTGCAACTTTACGTGATAAACATACCTTGGGAAGGTGGATCTACAATATGGAGCCTTAACATGTCTTAAAAAGCATCTGTATGGATGAAGGAATTGAAGGGACTCGGCGAGTCGCAAGGTCGACTCGGCGAGTCATATGAAGATGGGCATGAACTCGACGAGTTGATGAACAACTCGGCGAGTCCGTTGAAGATTGCCTTGGACTCGGCGAGTCAGTCGAAGACTCGGCGAGTCGGCTAGGGTTTCTCTCAACCTTTGGACACGTATGAACTCGACGAGTTATAAGGGAACTCGACGAGTCAACCTAGGATTTCACGACTTCTTGAGTTCAGGAAGAACTCGACGAGTCGGTGAACTGCACTCGACGAGTTGGGTCAACATGGACTGTTGACCTTGACTGTTGACTTTGACCTTGGCCAAGGGTTGACCAGTTGACCTCTAGGGGTATTTTGGTAATTTGGAGATTTATAGAAAAAGGGTTTTATGGTATCTGTAGGTGGTGGAGTTCGTGTTGGTGATTCGAGAGTTTGAGCCTATCATTTTCAGTGCGACATTGTGAGGTGAGTTATCCTCACTATACTCAAGGGTCTAAGGCACCAAGGCCGACCCTTTGAATTGTTATGGGCTATGTTATGCTAGTATGATCTGTTAGATCGGTATCCTAGAGGGTAGGATAATATTATGTGGTATGTGGTATGATCTGTTAGATCAGTTATGTCTATAGACTATTATATGATTATCTGTTATATGTGCACATGTTTGTTTGGCGGTTGAGGTTTATCTGCTTTGTGCGAAAGCCAATAGACCTGGGCATTCCAACCTATTGGTTGTGGGCCGTGAGTATTCCATCCCGAGGATGATTGGACTCATAGTATGTGGGCATTCCAACCTGTTGGTTGTGGGCCTAGGGTATTCCATCCCGAGGATGATTGGACCCATAGTATGTTAGCATTCCAACCTGACGGTTGAGGGCCTGGGGTATTCCAACCCGATGGTTGACTGGACCCATAGTATGCTGTTTATGATTATATGTGTGTTGTTGCGGGTATGGGTATTTTGGGGGAACTCACTAAGCTTTCGGGCTTACAGTTTCAGTTATTGTTTCAGGTACATCAGGGGATCGCGGCAAGGCGAAGGCATGATCGTACAGCTCCTCCTGATTTGTTTATGTTTCTGGGAAAAAAATCTGATGTTAGATATTTTGAAAACAACTTTGTAATGATGATTGGTTTTAAAATGTTTTGAAAAAGTTTTAAATTGGCATGAAATTTTTGGGTGTTACAATCATTTTCTTGGGATTGAAGTTATCTCGAGTGGATCAGACATTATCTTGTCCCAACAACCATATGTTCTTGACTTATTGTGTCGGGCGGGTCTTTCCGATGCCAAACCAATGCCTTCCCCTATGTCGTCGACAATGCAACTCACTCGGGAATTTGGTACACCGTTTGATGATCAAATGAAGTACCGTTAAATTGTTGGTGCCTTGCAATATGCTACCCTTTCTCGCACAGACATTGCTTTTGCTGTTAACAAAGTTTTCCAATTTATGCATGCACCGACGGATCATCATTGGTCGGCAGTCAAACGTATTCTTCGGTATCTTCGGGGGCACGAACTCTCTTGGGCTTCTTATTCGACGCAATTCCACACAGGCCCTTCATGCCTTTTCCGACTCTACAATTAATGCCTTCTCCAATGTTGATTGGGCCGGTGTAACACCCATAAAAATCAAGCCAATTTAAAACTTTTTCAAAATCCAAAAGCCATTAGTTATTCCAAAATGTTTTCAAAATAGTTTAATATCAGAGTATCCCAGAAACCATAAGTCCAAAACATGAGGATGTGTACGGTCACGCCTTCGCCTTGCCGAGACATCTGCAACACCTGAAACAATAAACTGAAACCGTAAGCACAAAGCTTAGTGAGTTCCCCCAAAATACCCATACACAACAATACACATATAATCATAAACAATATACTATGGGTCCAGTCAACCATCAGGTTGGAATACCCCAGGCCCTCAACCATCCAGTTGGAATGGCAACATACTATGAGTCCAATCATCCATCGGGATGGAATACCCCAGGCCTGTTGACTGTCGCACGAAGCAACCCAGTCTCACCGTATACAATAACAAATATGTCAGATCCAATCAACCATCGGGTTGGAATACCCCAGGCCCAATCAACCTCCACGTCCAGTCATCCATCCGGATGGAATACCCCAGGTTGGAATATATATATATATATATATATATATATATATATATATATATATATATATATATATATATATATATCTATATATATATATATATATATATATATATATATATAAAATAGGTCCAGTCATCCTCGGGATGGAATATCCTCGGCCCACAACCATTTGGTTGGAATGCCCATATACTACGAGTCCAATCATCCTCGGGATGGAATACTCACGGCCCACAACCATCAGGTTGGAATGCCCAGGTCTATTGGCTCTCGCACAAAGTAGATAAGCCTCAACCACTAATCAAACATGTGCACATATATCATATAATCACATAATAGTCTATTAAGACAACATACTAGGGTCCACTCATCCCCGGGATGGAATACCCTCAACTACCAATCAAGCATGTGCGCATATAACAGGTAACCACATAACAGTCTACAGGCAGTCAAACCGACCTACAGGTCACTAAGCATACATGCCCCACAGTTTAAACAATCTTAGGTTAAAGGATTCGACTCCACAACGGTTAGAATCAAACGAGAGCTGCGAAGCAGAACCCAACCCTTCATCCTAAGATCCTTTAAACCATGTAAACTAGCATGTACCGATAATCATACAGATCTAACAGATCACTAATCATAACATCATCCTAAAACCAGGATACAGATCTAACGTAACATCATGACACATAATCACAAGATAACTAGGATAACAATCCAAAGGGCCAGCCTTGGTGCCTTAGACCCTTGAGTATAGCGAGGATAACTCACCTGGCACTGCTGAAGTCCCGCAGATGAAACTTCAGCTGCTGGTTGACAGATTTCCGAACTGCCAACATCAAACAATACCCAATTAATAAGTGGGTTCCAAGCTCAAGGTCCAACTCACACTCCAAAGGCCCAATAGTCAAGTAATGGGCCAAAACCCAACATATGGCCCAATTTTCCAAATTGGGCCCAACCCTTCACATGGGCCTTACCTTAAGGCCCAACCACCTATTCTGGTCCAAATACTTGGCATTCCAATGGTCCAATATCTCATAATCATAAAGGCCTAATTATGGCCCATCTATGACCCAATTTTCCAAATTGGGCCCAAGACTCTCACATGGGCCTTATCCTAAAACCCATACAATTATTTAGTCCATTTACTTATTCTTGGAAAGCCCATTAATAGTCCAATCACCAAAGCTCAATAGAAAGGCCCAAGTGAAATTAGGGTTTCCACATGAAATGATGATTAGGGTTAAGTGTTTCTTGCTTAACCTATTAATGACTTAATCCATTAAGTCCAATATTGCCTTAGGTTAATTTTCCAATGATTAGTAATTATTATTTTTGGTTTAATAATTAATTCTCGTGCGGTCTCGATCAATCCCAAAATTAGGGTTTCAAGGCATTAGGGTTTTCCAAACCCTAATTAGGGTTTCCAACTTAATTACTAGCCCATTAATCAAATGGTTGGGATTTTAGGTCAATTAGGGCTTCATTGGGCCCATTAGGGTTTCATTGGGCCCACTTTGTCCAAGCATCCCCAAGCGAGTCAAAACGCAAACGAGGCACACCGCCACCTAATACGGCGGCTGGTGGCGGCAGCCACCACCTCACGGTGGTGGTCATGAGTTTCCTTTTATTATTCTTATACCAATTACAATACAATTTACAATAATATCGAAATAACACACACACACACTCATAAAATAACATACACACATAGCCACCCTTGTGGTGGCCGGTGGTGGTTCATGGTGGCAGAAGAGCAGCATCCGGCCGACAACCACCATGGTTGGCTGCCATGGTAGCTCCAAACGTTTTCCGGCCAAAATAAACCCCGTACACGACCTTGACTGGATCACCCAAAGGTACACACACAAACCCCGGAATAGTTACACCACCACCCACCTAGTGGTTCACGGTGATGTCAGCAGCAGCTCTAGTATCCACAACGGCGGCTAGTGGCAGTACAGAAGAGTAAGGAGGTGCCAACTAACGGCGATGTCGACGACGGTGATTTGCGATGACAGTAGAACGGAAAGGTGGCGGCTAGCTGCTGTGGGACGAGCTCCAAAGCGAGTGGTGGTCGGAATGGTACCGGCAACAACCGAGTGTGGCTGCGAACGGTGACAGAAAAGAGAAGAAGAAGAGGAGAACGACGGAGGGTGGCAGCGGCGCAATCGAGTGGGGCTCGTTCACAACGTCTTCGTCCGCAGCAATGGTCCCGACGGCCTTTGGTTGATCGGAACAGGAAGAAGAAGGTCGGCTTGGCAATGGAGAAAGAGAGGTGACGACTGAAGTGAGTGTCACCGTTTGGGTTTGGGTTACGGGAATGAAACGGTTATAAACCCCGTCTACATTCAAACCCTTTTGCCATAAATACGCTTCCAGTCCTTCCTTCCCTTCTTTTTTCAAATGAAGTCCTTAATTTACAATCTAAAACCTCCCTTCTGAAAATCATTACATATCAAGTCCGAATACTTACCATATGGCCCCTCCATGACCAATTATTTTCAACTTAGGCACATAATTTACCCTTTTAGCCCCAACCATCCAAGATCCTTTCAGATTAAGTCCAATATTTATTCTTTAACCCCCGAAACTAACATTCCAATAATTATTATTTGATTTTGGACTATAATAATATATAATAATAATAAAAATTGCTTCTCGGGGTTCCGAGTTTATTATTTAATTATTATATTTTAAATGGGATGTTACAGCCGGGTGTCCGGATGATCAGAGATCGATAGAAGGCTTTGCTATATTTCTTGGCACAAATCTCATTTCCTGGTGTCCACGGAAGCAACGAACGGTCTCCCGCTCTTCCACCGAGGCGGAATATAAAGCCATGGCCGACACGGCGGCTAAACTTACTTGGCTTTAGAACTGGGTGTTAGTACACATGCATCTCCAACACTTTGGTGTGACAATCTTGGCGCTACCTACCTCTCCGCCAATCCAGTGTTTCACGCTCGCACAAAACACATTGAAATTGATTTTCACTTTGTTAGGGAAAAAGTCTTCAGAGGTGAGCTATGGGTTCAGTTTATTTCCACTAATATGATCAAGTGGCTGATGTCTTTACCAAGCCACTACCAACACCTAGGTTTCAATTTCTTCGGTCCAAACTTCAGGTCGTGTCCCGCCCTTAGCTTGTGGGGGCATATTAAACCAATGTTTAACAATAGTTTATAGTTAAGGGGTTAGTTTGCAAATATGTTTCCTGTATATATCTTGTAGTCTGTTATTCAACGTAATAAGAAAAAGATTACCTTAATTGGTTTGATAGAGAAGAACGCGGGGAGGAAAGAAACAGGGGAAATAAGACAACCAAAATCAGAAGCAGCGAAACTGATAATCCCAGGTCATATACACTCTTGTATTTCTTCTCAACTTCCATGGCCATCCTCACTGAATTACCAGAAGAACAAGAAGCGGCAGTAACATATGATGTTTTCCTGAGTTTCAGAGGGAAAGACACTCGACTAGGTTTTATGGATCATCTCTACCAAGCTTTGGTGAACGAAAACATCTCTACCTTTCTTGATGAGGAAGAGGTTGAAACTGGGGAAGAACTTAAACCCGAGCTTGCAAGAGCTATAAAAAGCTCTCGTGCGTCGATAATCGTCTTGTCTAGAAACTACGCAACTTCAACATGGTGTCTGGATGAGCTGGTGATGATCTTAGAGCAACGAAAGGTCTCTGAGCATATTGTTCTCCCCATTTTTTACAACGTCGAGCCGACATATATCAGGAAGCAAGAAAGCACTTTTGGAGAAGCGTTATTTGAACACAAACAGAGGATTGAGTCCGAAAAGGATGTGGAGAAGAAAACTCAAGGTGCTCGTAAGTTGGAGATGTGGACGAAAGGACTTACAGAGATTGCTGATTTGAAAGGAAAAGATGCAACTGGAAGGTAAAACATTCATACCAAGTCCATTAAAAATCCCACAATCCATGGGGTTTAGTGTTGGAGTAATTCTGGGACAAAAATAATCCAGGGGGTATTTTCATCACCTGATCACGTTTCTTTTTTGAAGGTTTCTAGAACAAAGACCTGCACTTGTTCTATTCTTGCATCTGTGTTTATTTACACTTGAAAGACTAGGTGAACAAGTAAATTTTCCAAAAGTTTTTTGGTTACCTGTTCTTCCTTTCCTCTCCCCAGTTTTCTGTCCCTGTTGCTTTGTTGCTGTCACAAAGCTTAAACCTTACACTTAGAGCATACCATTGTGAGATTTAGCTTTTTACCATTGTTGGGATGACAAGCTTTGTGGGTACTAAGCTGTCGAAACGGATACAAAGTGGCTCACCATTATGGTTAAACCGTGTGCATATTTTTATTTCAGTCCCTTAATTTCATATTAATTAAAAGGATGCAAAAGACTAGTTATTGATCAGTTGTATTAATTTGATATATGGGCTGCTGTGTCTTGTTGATCGAATTTGATTCCTTTTTCAGAAGAGAAACGGTGGTGATTGAAGAAGTTGTGAAAGAAATTAGTACTAGACTGGAACTACACTTGCAAAGGAGAATCCCACACCTAATTGGGATGGATGATTCTATTGATACCATCAGTTCCTGGTTAAAAAGAGGATCTTCGGAAGCTGCTGAAATTCTCACAATTTGGGGAATGCCCGGGATCGGAAAAACAACATTGGCAAAACATATGTATATGTTGCACTGCCATGAATTTGAAAGAAGTAGCTTTGTTGAAGGCATTGGAAGAATATGTGCACAACAGACATGTTGGCAACTAGATTTGCAAAAACAGCTTCTTGGAGACATTCTCAAGAAAAGAAATATTGAAGAACATGATGCAGATCGGTGCACATCTAAGGTTGAAAAGGCATTATCTAGGAAAAAGACACTTTTAGTTCTTGATGATGTTGATAACTTTGAGCAACTGGATGTGTTGATTGGAACAAAAGGTATTCATCCAGGAAGCAAGATTATAGTAACAACCAAAGATGGCTCCTTAACAGAAAAGTGTTCATTGTTTCGTATGAAATTTCCTCCAAAACATACAAAGCTTGCACTTCATGGCTTAAGTGACACTGCATCTATGAGACTTTTATGTTGGCAAGCATTTGGAAACAATGATCCCAAGAAAGGTTATGAGAAAGAAGCACAACAACTTGCAGAGTATTGTGGAGGACATCCATTGGCTCTTAAAGTTTTGGGTAGTTCATTAATTAATAAAGATGCATCCATATGGAGTGATGTCCTTGAAATGTTGGAGGCAAAAGGATATTTAACTGATGTACAAGAAAGTGTACAAAAGGCTCTGCAAATTAGCTTTGATTCTTTATCAGGGGACTGCAAAGAACTTTTTAAGCACATTGCTTGCTTTTTTGTTGGAAAAGAAAGAGAAGTTACAGAAACAATATTAAGGGAATGTGGGTTTCAAACATCATATGGGATCAACAAGCTCATTGATAGATGTCTTCTCACAATTGGAGGAAGAAATGAGTTGAGGATGCATCAATTGCTTCAAGAGATGGGGAGAGATTTAGTCCGCAAAGAATCACCTGAAAAGCCATGGAAGCATAGTCGTGTATGGAAACATGAGGAGTCCCTCGATTTGTTGAAAAAGGACAAGGTAAATACAACATATATAGTCATCATGAGTATTCGTTAGCTTTATCATCTTTATAACGAAATGATTAATGTTTGTTTTGATTTTCTTTTTGATAGGGTACCCAAAGAATTCAAGGTCTTATCCTTGACACGAACTTATTGAGAAAGGAGCATAACTTCCAAAATGATGACGTGAACAAGAGTTTTAGAGCTGATCAACCAATCCAGATGGTTTATGAGTTCTTTCTAAGGATTTGGTTGTTTTTTGCTCGGCTTCTCCTAATGCTTTCATCTTCTCATTGCAAAAAGGTCGAACTGAGAGCAGATGCATTAAGAAAGATGGATAAGCTAAAGCTGCTCCAACTCAATTATATAAAACTCAACGGATCTTACAATAATTTTCCAAAAGGTTTAGGATGGTTGTGCATGCATGGATTCCATTTAAAATTCATACCTTCGGTCTTACCAATGGAAAATATGGTTTCTCTTGACATGTCTCACAGTAATCTGACACAGCTTTGGAAGAAGCCAAAGGTATGAAATTAAAGCTTTTACTTCAATTTTTAGTCTATCAATATGTTCGTTATAATATTCTTGATTCGAGGATATCCAATGCAACAGCTTCTTGGGTCATTGAAGATTCTTAATCTGAGTTATTGCAAGATTGTTAGAGTTGAAGGCTTCTCTTGGCTACCTGCACTTGAGAGGTTGATTCTTAAAAACTGTAAAAGCTTGGTTCATGTGTGTGAGTCAATTGGTGGATGTGATGGCCTTGTTATTCTTGACTTGAGCTACTGCAATAATCTTAGTAATGTTCCAATTAGCATCAGCAGGTTAAAGAATGTTAGAAGTCTATCATTAGACGGATGCTTAGGTGCTAGTGAGTTTCTAATGCGGATGAAGGATATGGAGTCATATGCATCTTCCTCTTCCGTTGGAGAATTTTTACGGAAAACTCCAAAATCATTTTTGATACCTTCACTAGTCATCTTGTCGCTTAAGGGCAATAATTTATATAATGAATCCTTTCCAAAGGACTTCAGTAGCATGTCGATGTTGAAGAAATTATATCTAAATAAGAATCCAATTGATTCCCTGCCTGATTGTGTGAGAAGCCTTAGCAGGCTTGAGTTTCTCGATGTTGGAGAATGTTGGATGTTGAAGTCGGTATTGTGCCCTCCACCTACAATCCAATATTTTAATAAATGACTCCGTCACTTATTAAAATAACATTCCCTCAAGAAATGTCATCACCACCAGTTCTGTATCATTTTGGTGCGGAGTCATTGAGCGAAATTGAAGGCGGAATAAAAATTCAAGTATAGCAGAAATTGATGAGCAGATCTTATGTAGCTTGGGGTGGACAAATTTACAATATTTGAAAGATCAGAAGATACGGATACAGGATTCATACAGATTTTCTCCTCCAAAGAAAGACCCAGTCCAGGTATCCTCTTTCTTCTGCTCTGTTTCTATGAATCTCACAGACACACACACACACACATACACTAATATGCTTAAAATTCATACAATCTAATGTTTTAATTGCAGATGATTTATGAATTTGGAATATTTAACACATGTTTTCCTGGGAAAGCAGTTCCAGATTGGCTACCTCATAAAAGCAAGGGTTCATCAATATCAATATCAATAGCCATGACATCGTCTTCAATGAATAAATCGATACAAGGAATAAATATAAGCTTTTTGCATACATTTCGAGACACAAAAAATTTAAGTCATTTAAGAATAAAAGTAGAGAATGTGACAACAAATCGCACCTGGATATATTATGGTCATATATATGCTGTGGGAGAAACTGATGAAGATGTAGTATGGTTAAGTCATTGGATGTTTGGGGAGAATGAGATTAAAAAATGGTGATCAAGTTTGTGTTACAATATTAGAAAATCCTTTGAGAAATAATGGAGTAATGGTAAGAGAGTGTGCAATCAGTCCTGTGTATGTGTATAATACTGATAAGGACAATGAAGAGGATCATTTGAGTTATTACAAGTCGTGGGAACATATTATTGGTGATGATCTGTCCGCTTTTCAATTACCCTCAGGAGATTACTTTCTAAGCAATTATCGTTTTATTTATCCTACCCTTGTATTTAAAAGACCTCTGCAATTATAAACTAATTTTCTAAAGGTACACACTTAATTTAAAAATATTTTTCCATTTCCAAATTTTAATAGGTAAACTAATGAGATTAATTATTGCTCCTTAACATTGAATATTGATGAACTTGCAGATCATGAGTGTTTGTATTAACTGTTGCGTTAATTCAGAAAATAAGACGCAGGGGTATTTTCGGAAGTTTTTTATTTAATAGTTTTTCTTCCAGTTTTTGTGTATGAGTAGAGTAGGACTCTTTTAATAGGACTCCTTTATTTAATATTTCTGGTATTGAATCAGCCCTTTTGAGGCAAGTCTCTCTCAACCTATTTGCAGGCTTTCCTTTGTTTTATAAAAGTTTTCGTTCCAAAAAAAAAAAGGGCTGGGTGTTTTCTGTTGAGGCTAAATAGATTAATAAGCTGGTATAGAATAAATGAGGGGACGTCTCTATTTCTTATTTCCAATTGTTAAATAAAAAGATAGACGATGCTTCTCTGGATTAGGGTTCAGGTATACATGAAAGCAGGATCACGAAATTACTCCTCAAAAGAACCAGAAAATTATTCCCAATAGTTTAGATGCAGTAAAGAGAAAAGACCATTGGACACCACTGATATAGAACTGAAAGGCATAAGTGGTGTAGCTGAAACTCAGTACCTTTTTTCTTCCGTACTCAAATATTTTTATCCATGAATGTGATTAAAATTATTTTAAGTGTTACACCCTGTTTGCAGATTTCATAGAGAGCAAATAAAGACTTAACTTTTCATATACTATGTCATATGGCTTCAAAGTTACGTCATAATTTTGGGTTACAATGTCTTTAATACCTTAATACCATATTAAGTACATCAAATCAAAGTAAAAAAAAAAAAGTAGGAATACGATTTGAATATCATTTATCAAATGGCAGCTAAAAATTGCATACACCAAAAGACGCCAAATAAAAAATCCAGCAGAAAAATGATGAAACTATAAACAAGGATTACAACAAAGTAAGAAAACGCCAACTTGTAAATTAAATAAACAAACAAAGTACATAGCTATTTTATTGTACTTAGCCTGGTCAGGGGCGAAATGCTAGAAATAGCATTGTAAGTTCATTTGTCCAATGTAGCATGCTTTTTTAAAATTTAAAAATTAAATTTTACCCAAATAAAAATATGATATAGAAATGTACTCTAGAAGTACATTGCACTGTTATTTCTGAAATAGCAATGTACTTAGCGAGTACATTGTCATGTTTGTACAATGCTAAAATTAATTTCTATTGAAATTTTTTTTTTTTTTAATTATTGTAGAATCAAACTTTTATTTCTCCTATTTTAACATTGTACTTTGTGTATGTTCATTTGATACAATGTACTATGCAAGTAATACACCTAGATACCCTTTTATGATATACCCCTTATGCCCCTGACACACATACACATACAACCACCTGATGGAGTATTTCTCACATGTTGGAGCACTTCAACTTTGTGCTATCTGTGAGCAGCAACAGTTACCTACATAAAAATACACCTAATCAGATTATAAATTTTTCACCCAAAATAAAAAAAACTGAACATCATTGGTGTTAATAAGCTGGGATAGAATAAATGAGGGGACATCTCCATTTCTTATTTCCAATTGTTAATAACAAATGAAAAACCTTATTAAGTTATTATCTTTCCTTCTTTTTCTTTTCCCATCTATGGATATGCTTATATTATCACGACCTAAGAAAAGAAAATTAGATACAGAGAAGCAAATGGGCCTTAATTAAGAATAAGATCCTCCTACCTTGGACATAGAAGGGCAATATAACTGTATTACAATTTTCAACCTTATATAGATCTGTTAAATGCTCTTTTAGAAAATAATCATAAAGGAAGCACTACTTGGATTTACTATCAACAAATGATGGAAATTTTCAAATTTGAGGCCTCGGCATTACATCGAGCACCTGGTGGACAAAATTTGCAAGCCAGTTTTATAGGACTCAAAATCACAAATAATAAAAAACGTACAAAAAATAAAGAAGGAACGGATCCAATGCCAATCGCCACATACATTGGCTACTATATCCTTCATGTAAATAGGATTTTTCGAATTCTGCCATTGTTATCAGATCTTGAAACTTTTGTACAATAGAAAAACATATAAAAATCGATCATTTGTTAAAAATAAATTGAAACAACTAGAAATAAAATAACTCAGATACTGCCATACCTTCTTGACAGATTTTCGCACACACTATTGCACCGCCCATATATTTATCAAGCCCAAGAAACATATCTACACGTAAATATAGAATCAATTTTATTTCCCATAAGATGTCTATACTTCAAAAATGAAACAAAAACTAAAATACAACATTTTGTCAGACTATTAACTAAGAAACATATTTACACTTTCACTATTTATAAAACTCTAACACAAACTCGACCTCAATTTGATATAAGGGTCATCCTTCCACCTGTAAAGTAAGAAAAAAAGAGATACATTGTAATTTATTCACTCCAAATTTGCCACAAAACATACCTGATGTGGTGGAAATGAGGTTATATTTATAATTTTATACAAAAAGAACATATACCTGATATCATATCAGTGCACTTATCAGGTCATTAACTAGCAAGCTTGGTTCTCCTCCACGTGTAAGGCTCCTAGTTTATGCCAACTTTGCATTAGATGGTCTATCCTCAAAGCCGAATCTTTATTCAGGTATTCTTTTTTCAGCAACTGAAATAAATAAATAAATAGCAACCTATCTTCACTTAGTTGCTCATTTTATCATCACAGATTTTGTGTTGAAAGGTATATGGACCAGAATCATGTCAAGAATTAATCACCTTCAACTCAGGCTCTTACTCGGTAACTAAACCACAAACTTTTCTTTCAATGGGTCGATTTGGGTTAAATTGAAAAAAATTATGTGAAGAAAGTGAGTGTGATAAAATGCTTACAATAACATAAATCCGTTCACTGAGAAAATAATATTATATTGCACCAAAAACCTGCCCTGAAAATTGTCAGTCTTTTTCAGGGGTATTGCGGTTGTTGTATGAGAAAATTCGCCAAATGACCAAAATGTAGGGTAAATTTGAAGAAAATGACCACAAAAATGAAGATTTCAGAAAATGACCACATGTTCCGCAGAGGGGGTTCTGCGGAACCATAAACACCTCTGCGGAACGTGAACACCTCTGCGGATCTTGGTTTTTTTCATTTTTTTTTTCGTTTTTTCGTTTTTTTTTCGTTTATTAATATTTTTTTTAATCACATAAGGTATTATATGATTATTATGTAAAAAAAATTTGTTTTCGTTTTTCGTTTTTCTTATTTAATTATTTGTTTATAAAAGCTGTGTGTTTAATAAAAATTATACAAATATTCTATGTTTTTTATAAAATTACACACACCGGTATTCTGAATAATAAACATACTTTAATAATGTTACAAAACATACTTTAGAAAATATAAACATACTTTGAAATAAACTTCATTGAAGGCTCTACGGATCCTCTACTGCTCTGCGGAATCTTTTTTTTATTTTTTTTATTTTTTTTTCGTTTTTTCGTTTTTTTTGCGTTCATTTTCGTTTATTAATATAATTTTTTTAATACACTAATACCTTATGTGATTATTATGTAAAAAATTCTACAAAAAAATGTTAAAAATAATGAAATGTTTTATGTAATACGTTTGCCTCTGAGGAACCAAAACACCTCTGCGGATCTTGAGTTTTTTAATTTTTATTTTTTCGATTTTTCGATTTTTCGATTTTTTGTTTTTGTTTATTAATATTAGTTTTTTTTAATACACTAATACCTTATGTTTTATGTAAAAAATTTGACAAAAAAATGTTAAAAATAATGAACTTATGTTTAATATCAGTCCACAGAACTGTTTGGGAATCCACAGAACTGTTATCAGCGGATCAGTGTACACCTCTGCGGATCAGTGTACACCTCTGCAGATCAGTGTACACATCTGCGGATCTGTGTACACCTCTGCGGATCTGTGTACACCTCTGCGGATCAGTTATAGAAGTTATAGACGTATTTTAGTGGGGTTTTGTGAGTTTGTGAGTTTCAATTACCAGTAGAAGTTCTTTTTTTCATTGTGTTTGTGGAGAGTGATTTGTAAAATGAGTTTTATTATTTTGTGTACGGGAGGGTCTTGACATTTAGTTAATGGAGATGAGGTTTACGTTAGAAATAATGTGAAAAACTATGGTTTAAATCTTCCTCCTAACATTGACTATGAAATGTTATTACAAATGGTTAGAAGTAAGGCAGGTGTGCTAAATAGTCATATATGTTTGTCTTTTAAGCACCCGGAGTTAGGGTATGTCATGGAGCTTGGAGATGAAACTGATGTATTTCAATTAAGACATGTAATGTCTAAATTAAAGAAGACGGTGCATTTGTATTTAACGGTGGTAGGTGAAGAAGCTGAAGAACAAGCAGTGGTTAACAACCACTTTAATCCAACAAAAACTAATAGAGGTCGTAGAAAAAGCCAATGTGATGGAAACCATTCAAGGGGAATAGGAAATGAAGTGCCAGTGGGTTATGAAAAAAAGTTTCGGTTACTGATAAGTTTGTATCCGATAATGATACTTTTGTATCAGATAATGATAAAGAAGCAAAAGTAGGCAACAACAGCTAGACAACCAATGGACACAACATACCGAACAACAATGGCAGCAACAGCCAGACAACCAATGGACACAACAGACTGAACATCAATGGCAGCAGCAGTCAGACAACCAATGGACACAACAGACTGAACATCAATGTCAGCAGCAGCCAGACAACCAATGGACACAAGAGACCGAACATCAATGGCAGCATGAGCCACATAACCATTGGACGTAAGGGACCAGACCGAACATCAATGACATCATGAGCCACATAACCATTGGACGTAAGGGACCGAATACCGATCACAGGAAGAGCCACAGAACCAATGGCAGGGTTGCACCGAGTACCAATGGCAGCAACATCTAGATAACCAATGGACGCAAGCGACAGTAAACCTAGGGACACAAGCAACAGAAAACCCATGGACGGAATACGAAAACAAATCAAAGTTTCCGTGGTTCGATTTGAATGAATGAAGTTTATTTCATAGTATGTTTATTATGAAGGTTGTATGTTTATGTTTTCTAAAATATGTTTTGTAACCTATAAAAAACATGGAATATTTGTATAATTTTAATTAGGTTATTTATATGCACCGGTTTGTATTACGTTATTTATATGTATTTTGTTTGTATTAGGTTATTTACGAAACCAGTTGAGTTAACTTCTACTTTATTCCATAGAACATAAAATACAAAACAGTAAAAATACATGGAAAACATACATCAGTAGCAAACATATTACATAAAACAAACGTATTACATAAAACATTTCATTATTTTTAACTTTTTGTCAAATTTTTTTACATAATAATCACTTTCTAAAGTATGTTTTGTAACCTACTTAAAGTATGTTTATTATTCAGAATACCGGTGTGTGTAATTTTATAAAAAACATAGAATATTTGTATAATTTTTATTAAACACACAGCTTTTATAGACGGGTAATTAAATAAGAAAAAAGGAAAAACGAAAACAAATTTCTTTTACATAATAATCACATAATACCTTATGTGATTTAAAAAAATATTAATAAACGAAAACTAAAAAAAAACGAAAAAAAATGAAAAAAACGAAGATCCGCAGAGGTGTTCACATTCCGCAGAGGTGTTTATGGTTCCGCAGAACCCCCTCTGCGGAACCTGTGGTCATTTTCTGAAATTTTCATTTTTGTGATCGTTTTCTTCAAACTCACCCTACATTTTGGTCATTTGCCAAATTTTCTATTGTTGTATTGGTTCGGGGATACAAGACAGGCGCTCATGTCATGGTTAAAACAAATTACATTCTTAATGAATCGATTTGTCATTTTGGAGTAAAAAGTGTATATTGGTAAATAGCAAGCTTTTGGTGTAAAATAATATTTGATTAGTAGTTTAGTCTAAATTCCTTTTCATTACGTATCATCATTATTTGTCTACAATTTCATCACATTTAAACACACCTCGTATGTTAGAACTCATTTGAGAGTTTTTGGTCCATCCACACAAAATAGAAACAACTTAGTTGGATTGTTACCCATTAATTAATGATTAAATAAACAAATGGGTCGTTTGATAGTTACAGATTGAGTCAGAAGGCCCTTATGGATCATGAGTCAAATCTACATATGGAGTGAATCTACATTTGACTAAAACTGTTTGATTAACTGTGTTGAATGATGAAAATAACCATTTTACCCTTCTATTATATTTGCAACTCAAACGATACAAATTCATATTTTCTACATAAATGAAACCAACCATCAATGACATTGAAAGTTGAAACTGTACTTTGAAATTGTATCCAATTCACCATTTATACTAAAATTAAACATACAACTCAAAAGAACATAACTATATATAGAATATGAGAAACAATATAAACATACAACTCAAAAGAACATAACTATATATAAAATATAAGAATTTTTTTTATGTGTTCTTTACACTGTCCCGGTTTCACTACAAACCAAATGGTTGCTTATATCATATGTTTTGGATCGTAGTGAAAAACTGATAAAAAAGCAATTTCCAAATGGTTGCTTATGTGGCCTCCATGTCGTTGAACATATAAAGAATGTCAATATCTCTTCTTGAATCACGGGTTCTATTCTCCAAGGCCTTTATCATATCTCTCGTCTTTTCAATGTCTCCCTTTCATTACTCCTAGTATATACCACCTAAAACAAAAATGCATATTTTCTTAACAAGCCTGCAAAAAACCTCATGTAACCGGTAACCTTAAAACAAAAAGCAAAGAATTGTATTACAAAACCCAATGTAGGATCAGACTAATAACCAACGTGGGATCAAAAATCAAGAAATTCATACATAAATTTCATATAAAATAGACCAAAGATAACCATACAAACCTCTTCATTCAATTCATTCCGGTAATTGATTCTATAAAATCCATTTCTCTGTACCTTTTGCTCAGGAACACAAAATTTTCATCAAAAGTTTCATTTTCTTAGTTAATTGCCACAAGAGTCACAACATAACTTTGCAAAGCTCTCACCTCACGAGGTACATAATTAACTTAGGAAGATGTAATTTATTTACAAAACATGTGAACGAATTACGTTTCTTCTTATTACTGTGAAGTAGCCATTGAAGCTTCTCCCCTCCTCCCTTTGCTTTAAAGTCCAATGATTGACATAAAATTTTCCTATAATTATTGATGGAATTAATAATAGATAGTGAAATTGGATATAATGGAGAAACAAGTGATGGATTTTTTTACCTGTTTGAGAACATTATCGAAGATGAAGGTGAATCTATTGTGAGAATCGGAGGATGCAGAGGACTTAGTAGAAATTCCATGGTTGAATAACAATCGATTTCATGTTCTATCAAAAGCATTGTTGCAAATCAATTTTTGAGACACATAAAAATCGATTTCAGAGAAGCATCTGACGTGAGGAAGAAGACGCATCAGTGGCGGAGGAAACCGAAATAATGGCAGCGTCGGTGTAACGTCCCGATTTTCAACCCAATTTTTTTATTTGTATTTATTCAATATATCATAGTATAATAACATTATGCGGGAAAATGTTGTGCATGCACGTGTGTACAGTTGAACCTTGCCTTTCGCATGGATCAATGAAGTACCTGAAAAACATTTATATTCAACTAGGTAAGCATGAAGCTTAGTGACTAGTGAGTTCCCCAAAATACCATATACCGCAATACATATACATGCATACAAACAATGACACACTATCTGCCAATAATATGTGTACTTACGGCTTACACGCTATTTTGTTAAAGCGGGTCTATGTGTACTTACGGTCTACATGCCATTTCGTCAACACAGTTCTATGTGTACTTATGGCCTACATGCCATTTCGTTAACAAGCGGGCCTATAGGTTCCCGACCTCTTTTTCGTTCCACCATTATCCCCTAACTAAACCCAACATCACAACAATTACACACATAGAGACTGCACTTTAGACTCTACTAGTGTAGGCATATCTACACTTCCTACTCTACCAATTTCAGGTATATTTACACTTAAGCACATAGTGATCATACTACCAGCTCTACTCTACCCGCTCTCTATCCTAACATACATGGATATATATTGTAATATATAGTATAGTGAGATAACTCACATGGAAAATTATTCAGACGATTGACAACTATATGGGTGATCCTACTGGTGATCGAACTGGTGGGTAACGCGCATAACAAGTATTAACCTATAATACTGTAACTTATTAATTCCTATGGAAATCTGGTATTGAAAGCTAGATATTTCACTAACCCCAGTGAATACTGAGAGTTCTATCAAATAAGGATCACCTAGGCAAGAAAGTTGGGAGGAGGACCATTTTGGCATATAGCCTTTCTAAAATCCAACAACCAAGCCTACATGACCATTCTAGACACCTCTCCTGTAAGTAGATTGATCATAATTATAACTGGAACTATTAATAAATCTTATTTATACATTCATAACAACGATTACGAATGTAAATATAAATTACACTTAAATTACGATAAGTACAGCTTAACTTACAGAGACTTTCTAGCGAAAAGTTGGAAATTGTACTGGCAGAACTCCGACCTGATAGCTTCTAATTTTCGGGATCTCAGATACTCCAGGACTTCGCTAAAACTTCCTATTAGCTAGATATATTCGAGATTTATAGAGGAAATCCATAGAAAAGGTTTCTGGTGGTGTAGAAATAAGTGAGGGGGCTGCAATCTATTTATAGTAGAAATTTAGGAAGGGTGTGCTGCACAATATCATCTATGTTTCTCCTCCGAAATGTTGGCATGTGTCGATTTCCTACTGATCCGTGTAGCCACCTTCTAGAAGCGCACGCCACGCGTATGCGCACGTGATGCAAATGTGAATTCTATAAATTTCGTAACTTCTTCATACGAGCTTCATTTTCAACGTTCTATATATCTATGTGTAGCTATCGACGAGATCTACAAGTTTTATTTAGACCCCATCAGCTAATTCTCACTTTATTTTTAAAGTTATATTTTCAACAGGCTTAGATTGTTAAATCCCGTATAAAAATCATAACTCTTTCATACGACATCCGTTCTGGATTGTCTCTATATTGACGAAATTATATCTACGAGATCTTCAACTCTCATTTAGATTGTTTCGGATAACAATCAACTGATTTCTATTTAGATTTTTGTGTCGCACACTGCCGTGCTGCAACTTTTAAAAATCATAACTTCCTTTTATGAAGTCAGATTTGGATGTTCTCTATATGCACACTCTCACTTTTACGATTACTATGACTTTCGTCAATATTATTTATCCTAAATAGTCCTCTATCAAAACGTCTATTTACGTAACTGGTCGTTTATACTTTAAGTCGAAATTAGGGTGTTACAACTCTCCCCCACTTACAGAGATTTCGTCCCCGAAATCCTACTCCTAGCGCACCTAGTGTGACATACTCTAATTTTCAAAACCAATTAAAACCTTTCTTTATGCTTCTTAAATTATATTATCATTGATGCAATTTACAATATATTTGAAACATTTTGAGTACAAGTGATTGTCTTAAATAAAATCCTAAAGATGTCATAATCGATACATAAACATAGGTTACATCGTAAAGATCTAATGGTCTTGAACTCTATTGCAGGCTGTCTCTTAATCACTCAGCATCCTAATCAAGTTCCAGTAGCTTAAGTCTTGATACATGTGATGCATATAAACTGAGCGGGCCAGGTTGGGAAATCGGGTGAGATACATAGGGATTTCAATCCCATAATATTTTCATGATAATATCCCTTAATTACCAGACCTGCAAAACCAACGGTTATCAAATAACATAGATAAGGTCTAAATATCTATAGCGCTCTCTACCCATCCTAATTAATCCTCACAGATCCTAGTCCACGATTATCAGGAAGTTTTATCTTACTCGATGAACCGTTTAAAGGGTTTGACTACACAACTAGGGG